GTTGATGTAGCCATTTTAGGAACGAACCTATCACAATAAGTGAGATCGTCTTGCAGAAACCAAGTAGGTTTTATAAACGCCCGTAGGAAAAATCTGTAGGATTTCTTACAGTCTTCAGCATCGCTCAGTAATCGTACAACTGCACTTGTAGCCTTTTCAATATCACATGCGCTCCGGTAGATAATACAATATCTGTGGTTTTTCCGAGTACGACACACTGACACCGCCACCCATCTTCCCATTATCTGTATTCTGCACTCAGCATTTGTATTGTCGCGGCCCCCTTACTGGAAGTTTACCATACATTTCTGTAATCAATAAACCAAAAAAGAAATAAAAACATTATTTATTTTATTTAATGTGTACTCGAACTCCGATTCCTTCGAAGAAGGTAGGTAAAGTAAAGATTAGGACTCTACAATGGCTGACCTGCCCAATACTTTGTTCCTCGACATTATCATAATCTAGACTCGTCGTGCGTCCAAACAAATTTACCCGGTGTTGCAAATGAGGTTATTGCGACGGTGAGATGTATACATGCTTGTTAACAAGTAAGTGCAGGGATTCGGGTACGGATGGGTACGATGCAAAAAAACACTATTTACGCTAACACAAGGACCAAGAACAACACTGGTGTTTTTTTTTGTTTGTTTCACAGTGCAACTTTTGATATTTTCGTGTTTGTATTATTACGGGGTATAGAATTTCAACAGCCAAATCGCATATCCTTTGCACCACTGAATTCTGAGCCATATCTCAGCATCCCCAATCAATGACGATCCTTATCCATTGGGTCTCTACTTGGAAGGCGGTCTGCATCAACCGAAATCAATACTGAAGCTAACGTTCTCATACTCCTAAGTGAGGTTATGTTCTAGCCTACCCAACAGCTCTTCCAGCTATACTCATAAGTGCAAGAAAAGCAGAGAAAGATAGACGATTTACAGGGTTACCCAAAACGTGACCGAGTCATCGGAAGCGATGTGGAGTGACTTATTTTACAGAATGACCATCAGCATATCCGAGAACTTACATTAGCCTGGGGAACCCGGTAATGTATTGTATTGAAGCTTCAGCGAGTTATATACAAGCTTCTAGTCAGTGGAAAATCGTAAACCTTTTTTCTTTGATACACAAATAATCGTAACACAAATTGTTTGGCACAGTCTGAACTCAGACATGTAGGTAGGGTTCCTTAATGTTTCAACATCCTGTTTATTTCACTGGTGCGATACAACTGCTCCAATTTCCATGGATTAGGTTCCTGCTATTTATTTATTTATTCTCCTGTGCATCCCACTGAAAACGCAAATTATGTTTCCTGAGAAAAAAGTCGTTAAGGTTGAAGAAAAGGAGTATTTCAAGTATCTCATCATTGAGCTTTTTCAAACAGATGCGTTGCCCGTACAGTTGGTGTACTGCTATTGTATGAAATCAATGAGCTTTCAGTTTATGCGACATTCGTACTTCCCTTCATTAACACAGATCATCGTGACGGGTCAGATGGTCGCCGGTCCTTGTTGGAGGACTGGTTGCACTGAGTGAGCTGGTGGTTCAGTTCATCAACCATAAGGCCAAAGCGTTCACCACACGCTTGGTATCTGATAAATGTGAACTTTCTTTATGCTGGTTGTCAAAATGTGGTTTTGATTCGTCTACCTTACAATGAATGAATACCGTTTGTCCTTCTCCGCACTCGTAGAATAAACAAAATTTCACCTCTTGTGATCTATCCCACAGTCGCCCCGTCCGTTCCTCTCTATGTACCGCTCGTGCCACCGTCGATACCTACTTATCAGACACCAATCTTACCAAATGTCATGCCAAGGACATCGTTGCCATTATCCTCTCAAACGTCAACTATTCGCCCTGGTTCAATGACACAACAGAACACATCAATATCCAAACCTGCTACAACAAATCACAAATTGGGTAACGCCGCAGTCCCAGCGCAAACAGTGATCACTGCACCACCGCAAATGGCTGGACCTAACGAATTGGCCGCCAGAGTTAAAGAGGCAGNTGCAGCTGCCGCTGCAAAACTGATGGCCGAAGATGAAGATGATGATGTGACCCGGGCGCTTTTGGCTGCCGCGGCTGGTGTCACCTACACCCGGGTACATGGCCCAAACGGGAAAGGTTGGTAGTATGCCGCCAGATATGAAAAACTACATTTACCCGGTCATGAACAGTATAGACTAGTTTCACGGATATTTGTCACTTTATTGTTAATAGTCGCAACCCTCTCTACGTTTCGATTGTCTTTCGTACCCAAAGATTTTTTTACTGGGTATTCTAATGTTTCAAAAAATTACCGTTGATGAACACAGTA